CCCAGGGGGGGTTTTTGGGTGGGATTTTGGGGAGTTTTGGGTGGGATTTTGGGTTTCCCCAGGGGTGGTTTTTAGGTGGGATTTTGGGGAGTTTTGGGTGAGATTTTGGGGGTTCCCAGGGGATTTTTGGGTGGGATTTTGGGGAGTTTTGGGTGGGATTTTGGGGGTTCCCAGTGGGATTTTTGGGTGGGATTTTGGGAGTTTTGGGTGGGATTTTGGGGGTACCCAGGGGCATTTTTTAGTGGGATTTTGGGGGTTTCCAGGGGCATTTTTGGGTGGGATTTTGGGAGTTTTGGTGGAGGATTTTGGGGGTACCCAGGGGCATTTTTGGGTGGGATTTTGGGGGTTCCCAGTGGGATTTTGGGTTTCCCCAGGGGTGGTTTTTAGGTGGGATTTTGGGGAGTTTTGGGTGGGATTTTGGGGGTTTCCGGGGCCATTTTTGGGTGGGATTCTGGGAGTTTTGGGTGGGATTTTGGGAGTTCCCAGTGGGATTTTTGGGTGGGATTTTGGGAGTTTTGGGTGGGATTTTGGGGTTCCCCAGTGGGATTTTTGGGTGGGATTTTGGGGGTTTCCCAGTGGGATTTTTGGGTGGGATTTTGGGAGTTTTGGGTGGGATTTTGGGGGTACCCAGGGGCATTTTTAAGTGGGATTTTGGGGGTTTCCAGGGCCATTTTTTAGTGGGATTTTGGGGGTTTCCAGGGGCATTTTTGGGTGGGATTTTGGGGTTCCCCAGGGGTGGTTTTTGGGGTGTCTCGCCCCCCTCCCCACCAGCCCCCTCCCCAATTCCAGGGGGTCTCATCTGCCGGGCGCTGCTGGCCACGACCCCCGACCACAACGTGCAGAGCTTCATCTCCCTGGCAGCGCCGCAGATGGGCCAGTACGGGGGTGAGCGGATTTTGGGGAATTTTGGGGATTTTTTGGGAATTTTTGGGATTTTTTTGGGGGTGATTTTGGGTTTTTCTGTGATTTTTTGGGGTTTTTTTGGGGTTTTTTTGTGATTTTTTGGGGTTTATTTCAGTGTTTTGTGGGATTTTTGGAGGTTTCTGTGTGTTCTGGGGGTGAGGGGATTTTGGGGAATTTTGGGGAATTTTTTGGGAATTTTTGGGATTTTTTTGGGGGTGGTTTTGGAGTTTTCTGTGATTTTTTAGGTTTTTTTGTGATTATTTGGGGTTTATCTTGGTGTTTTGCGGGATTTTTGGAGGTTTCTGTGTGTTCTGGGGGTGAGGGGATTTTGGGGAATTTTGGGGAATTTTTTGGGAATTTTTGGGATTTTTTTGGGGGTGATTTTGGGGTTTTTTGTGATTTTTTGGGTTTTTTTGGGGTTCTTTTGTGATTTTTTGGGGTTTATTTCGGTGTTTTGCGGGATTTTTGGAGGTCTCTGTGTGTTCTGGGGGTGAAGGGGATTCAGGGGGATTTGGGGATTTTTTTTGGGGGGATTTTTGGGGAATTCTTGGGATTTTTTTGAGGGCGATTTTAGGTTTTTTTGGGATTTTTTGGGGGTGGTTTTTTTGGGCTTTTTTTGGTGATTTTTTGGGGTTTATTTTGGTGTTTTCCAGGGGGTTTTGGGAGGTCTCTGTGTGTCCTGGGGGAGAGGGAGGAATTTGGGGAGATTTTGGGGTGTTTTGGGCCTGATTTTGGGGCGTTTTGGGCCTGATTTTGGGGCAGATTTTGGGGTGTTTTGGGGCTGATTTTGGGCTGATTTTTGGGCAGATTTTGGGCTGATTTTTGGGCAGATTTTGGGCTGATTTTTGGGCAGATTTTGGGGTTGATTTTGAGCTGATTTTGGGCTGATTTTTGCTGAATTTTGGGCAGATTCTTGGGCAGATTTTGGGGTTGATTTTGAGCTGATTTTGGGGCTGATTTTGGGCTGATTTTTGCTGAATTTTGGGCAGATTTTGGGGTGGTTTGGGGCTGATTTTGGGGCAGGTTTTGGGCTGATTTTGGGCTGATTTTTGCCGATTTTGGGGCAGACACCGATTACCTGAAGTGGCTTTTCCCCCGGCACATGAAATCCAACCTGTACCGGCTCTGCTACACCCCCCTGGGCCAGGGCGTGTCCATCTGCAACTACTGGAATGGTCTGGCCCCAAAAACCCCCCAAAATACCCCAAAAATTCCCCAAAAATCCCCCCAAAATACCCTAAAAATCCACCCCCAAAACCCCCAGAAATAAACCCAAAAATACCCCGAAAATCCCAAAAAACCTCCCCCAAAACCTCCTGAAAATCCCCACAAAATACCCTAAAAATCCCCCCAAAAAATCCCACCAAAAATCCCACCAAAACCTCTCCCAAAACCTCCTGAAAAACCCCACAAAAACCACCCCAAAAAACTGCAAAACCTCCAAAATACCAAAACCCTCCCAAAAAATCCCAAACCCAAAGAAAACCCCAAAACCCCCCAAAAAACCCTCAAAACCTCCTGAAAAACACCAAACCCTCCCAAAAAACCAACAAAACCCCTGAAAAAACCCCAAAATACCCCAAAACCCTCCCAAAAAAAACCCCAAAAACCCACGAAAAAAACCTCAAAACCCTCCCGAAAACACCTCAACCTCCCCAAAAAAAGCCCAAAACCCCCCCAAAAAAAACCCAAACCCCTCAAAAAATCCCCAAACCCTTCAAAAAACCCCAAAGCCTCCTAAAAAAACCCAAAATATCCCAAAGCCACCCAAAATCCCCCCGAAAACCCTCGGAAAAAACCTCAAAACCCTCCCAAAAACGCCTCAAACCGCCACCAAAAAAAAACGAAACCCCCTGAAAAAAAAACCCAAAAAAAACCCAACCCTTTCAAAAAATCCCAAAACCCCTCGAAAAACCCCCAAAACTTCCCAAAAAAACCCCAAAAATCCCCAAACTCCCCCTTGCAGACCCCCACCACCGGGAGCTGTACCTGAACAGCAGCGACTTCCTGGCGCTGCTCAACGACGAGCGGCTGCACCCCAACGCCTCAGGTGAGCCCCAAAAATCCCCAAAAATCCCCAAAATTCCCAAATTCCATCCCAAAAAGCCCCGAATCCCCGGAATTTCACCCCAAAATCCCCGACTCCCCCAGACTGGAAGCGGAACCTGCTGCGGATCCAGCGGCTGGTGCTGATCGGGGGCCCCGACGACGGCGTCATCACCCCCTGGCAGTCCAGGTGGGACCCCAAAAACCCCCAAAATCGCCCCGAAATCAGCCCGAATTTACCCCAAAATCCTTCCCGAACCCGCCCAGAAACGTCCCTGAAATTCCCCCGAGAATCTTCCCCAAAAACCGAAAATCACCCCAGAATTCCCCTAAAAATCACCCTAAAATCAACCCAAAAATCATCCCAGAAAAACTCCAGAATCACTCCAAAATTGCCCCAAAATTCCCCCAAAAATCACCCTAAAATCAACCCAAAAATACCCAAAAATCACCCCAAAATCACCTCAAAAATCACCCTAAAATCAACCCAAAATTATCCCAAAAATCTTCCCCAAAATCACCTCAAAATGACCCCAAATTAACCAAAAATTAACCCAAAACGACCCCAAAAATCCAAAAAAAGTCCAAAAAAAATCCCCCCAAAAATCCCCAAATCCTCCCCACATCCCCCCGGGCCCTTTTGGGGTGTCCCCGAATTTCGGGGTCCCCCCTGGTGACCCCAAAATTTCCCCGAAGCCTTTTTGGGTTCTACGACGCCAACGAGACCGTGCGGGACATGGAGGCGCAGCCGGTGAGGGGC